CCAGGAAGTTGAGGCACGGGAAGATGATCTAAGGAGGCGTATGACATGTTTCAAGTCTGAGTATGCATTCTGCTCTTTTTACTTTATTTTATTATCATAGTCGATATGCATGCCCCTTTTCATTTTCTTACATTGATTTGGTTCTGTATGACTGTCATTTATCAACGTTGAACCTTTGGTCCTTTTCTGTTTCAGAGTAGATGGTGATAATTTCTTCGAGACAAGAATGATGGTTATGATTTTTTGTCATCTTTGTTTTCATATGTGAAACCTTTATTTTAAAATGTGAACTTTACTTATTTAGTATAAAGGAGAGAACGGTAAGAGAAAGAGAAGGAATATGAAGACATCTGTACCCTTTTCACTTCTATTCTTCTCCACTCACATCAAGAAACAATCCCCTATCCCCACGAAGTTAGAATTGGGAACACCAGAGTACAAATTCAAAAAGAAAATTAGGGAACACCATAAAGAGCAATAAAACTTAGCCATCTCAAAGGCTTCATCCAAACTGCATTCCGTTTCATTGAAGATTTGGTAATTTCAAGCCATGACCTTAATTACATTGATTCAAAGAACTTCACTATTTCAGTTGATCTTTTCTTTCCTCCTAATCTGATTGACTAGCTCACCTGAAATCTGATTATGAAATTGTGATATCGTAGCTTTATTATCATGTATGAGGTTCACAGGATTAATTTCTCATGTAATGGACAAATCAGACGCCCATTGATAAGCCAGAGCAGCACACACAACCAATATGCACCATGCACTGTGACATATTTTTCTTTGCTTTATCTGCGGTGGATGGACAGTTGCTATAATTTTGCCAACACTTCTTTTGTTCATTGATTTTAAATCTCGTGGAAAACAGATTTTTATTTTTGTTGTTATATATATACTTTTTGTAGCTGTGATAAGAAGGGGGAAGAGATTGTGCTTGAGAGGCAATCTTTAAGTGAAAGACAGAAAGCATTACAACAGGAACATGAGAGATTGCTTGATGGACAAGCTTTGCTTAATCAGCGGGAGGAATATGTGTCAAGTAAGACTCAAGAGCTAAGTCGATTGGAAAAGGAGTTAGAGGACTCAAGAGCTAATATTGAGGATGAGCGCAGATCAATTCATAATGAGAAGTCCAAGTTGCAACTCACTGAAGCGGCTTTATCAAAGAGAGAGGAGGTTTTGATTTCCTTTCTTATTTTGATTTGGATAATATTCTGTGAATAATTTGTGCTTTGTCCTTAAAATCTAATTGGTTCACCTTCTGGGTTTTCAGGCTGTCAGTAGAATGGAAATTTTGCTGAACAAGAGAGAGCAAGAGCTACTTGTTTTACAGGAAAAAATTGCGACAAAAGAATCTGTAAGTTTCTTTAACCTACTCTTTTGCTCTACTTGTGCAACATTGTGATTCATATTATTAATTTTACTAACACCTTAAAGATTGTATTTTTATTTTCCCTCCTGGAATGCACCCTGCTTCATATTAAATGATCCGACCTATTTTTTGAGGCACTGATTACATTTTCATTCTCTTTGGGTGAGCTTTGCAGAATGAAATTCAGAAAGTTGTTGCAAACCATGAAAGTACTTTGAGAACGAAGATATCTGACTTTGATGCTGAGCTGCAAGTAAAGCAGAAAGCAGTTGAAGATGAAATTGAAGGTAGGAGACGTGCCTGGGAGTTGAGAGAGATGGACCTTAAACAACGGGAGGAACAACTCTTGGAAGCGGAACTTGACTTGGAGGCTCAATCTAGGTCATTGGCAACAAAGGAGAAGGAGGTAGAAGAATTATCCAAGTTTCTTGATGAGAAAGAGAAGAACTTAAGAGCTGCTGAGCAGGAGCTTGAACTTAGTAAAGCACTCCTGCACAAAGAGAAAGATGAGTGCTCTAAAATGAAGCTAGAGCTTCAGCAATCCCTTGATTATCTAGAAGACAGAAGGAAACAAGTCGACTGTGCAAAGGACAAGCTTGAAGCCATTAGGAGTGAAACAAATGAATTATCCCTGCTAGAGATGAAGCTTAAAGAAGAGCTTGATTCAGTTCGAGTTCAGAAACTGGAATTGATGGATGAGGCAGATACATTGATGGTTGAGAAGGCCAAATTTGAAGCTGAGTGGGAAATGATTGATGAGAAAAGAGAGGAGCTGCGGAAGGAAGCTGAAATTCTAGCTGCAGAGCGGTTAGCTGTTTCCAAATTTATCAAAGATGAACGTGATAGCCTTAGATTGGAGAGGGATGTAATGCGAGATCAATTCAATAATGATATGGAGACACTTTCTCGTGAGCGAGAGGAATTCTTGGATAAGATGACATGTGAACGTTCTGAGTGGTTGAACAAAATGCAGCAAGAACGCAAGGATCTGCTAATGGACGTTGAGGCACAGAAGAAGGAGCTTGAGAATTGTCTTGAGCAGAAGCGTGAAGAATTGGAAAGCCATTTGAGGGAAAAACTGAAAAACTTTGAGCAAGAAAAGAAAAGTGAACTGGAGAAAATTAGCTTCCTTAAGGACAAAGCAACTAAGGATTTGGAAGAAGCTGCATTAGAAATAAAAAAACTTGAAACTGAGAGAATGGAGATTAATTTAGATCGTGAAAGAAGAAACAGAGAATGGGCTGAACTAAATACTTCCATCGAGGAACTCAAGGTTCAAAGGGAGAAATTAGAAAAACAGAGGGAGTTGTTGCATGCTGACAGGGAGGAAATTCTTTCTGAGATTGAACGTCTTAAGAAATTTGAGGATCTGAAAGTTGCTTTGGATAATATGGCTGCGGCTGAGATGAGCCAATCTGATTTGACACCTGCTCAGCGTATTGGTTCTCCAAGAAGACTTCTGAAGCAGCGTGCACTTGTTAGAGATGCTGATTTGAATTCACAGCACCAAACAGATACTCAAAAGATTACTAATGGCTTTGGGACCCCATCTATGCCCAAATTAGATGGTGATTCGCATCCTACTTCCACTCCTTTCTCATGGATCAAACGTTGCTCTGAATTGATATTCAAGCAGTCTGCTGAGAGAGAGAGGCCATCTACAAGGTATCGTGATAAAAATCTGATCAGTCAGGCTGACAAATCAAGCTCAATTCCTGGACAACTCTTACAGTCTCGGGAGTTTGAAATGGATGGGGGTAATGGTAAGTCCCAAATGAGTTATTCTGAAAGACCGGATCTGAAATATGCTATTGGAGAACCGAAAGTAATAGTTGAAGTACCCCCAGTAGGCAAGGACATGAAAGAAGTACCTGTTCTTGAATCTGAGATTGTAAATGATGTTACAGAGTCTGATCGTAGGATTTTGGCTGGAAGGAAAAGGAGGGCTACCAACATTACTCATCCTGGTTCCCTAGGACACATGGAGGTAGAACATAACAATAAGAAACGGAGACAACAAGAAATTTCTGTGAACCCTGCAGAAGAGGATCCTAGTTGCCCGTATGTTCTTTTTTTTTTTCCTGGTCAAAATTAATTTCCTTCAGTCATTAGTTATTCTCCCAACAATGTCTGAGCACCTCTAGTTTATCTAATGGTTTTTGTATTTAACGAAGTTTATAAGATGATTTTAAAGTGAATGACTTGATTTCAGTGAAGGAGCATCATCCCAAATGAACGTGCTTGAGAATCCAAAGGCATTTGGGTCATCCACTGAAAACCAAGAAAGTGTCAAGGAGGCTGAAGTTGTTATCGTAAATACAGACATTAACATCATTGAAGTTATGGCTTATAAACCGAAGAACTCTGACATACCCATTGACCAAGATGCATCAAACCATCAGCAAACTATCTCAGAAAAGGTATGGTTTGTACGATGAAATTATTTATTACAAGGCAACTTGAGCAGTCCAAATTTATGAAGTGTATTACCCTGCAGTACTGAGGTCCATGGAATGTTTCAGCTATACGCTTAGGAAATGTTGAACAAGCTGCTGTTTGCTGTCAGGTATATGTTTTTTTTTTCTGCTTTCAAGTTTCAATTTTTGCCTTCCGACATTACTTTCTTCTGTATGCCTTCTTATCTACCACTTATCTCATGTTATTTCTGGGTGGTTTTTTCTAGACTTCGTACCTGATAGATCTTACCGCTACTTAAGAATGGTGATAAAGTCATTTCCTAATATTGCTTTCCAATTCTTCCTAAATATTAAAATGTTTAGCCATCTCTGTCTTAATGACAGAATTTGAGGTGTGATTTTAAATTAAAAACTAAGACTGAAGACAGCGTGTAAAATAGAACCATAGAGATTCTAGAAGTTTGATCTCACCTAGTTGATTTTATGGTCTAACCGACTAGTTTTCCTATTAATCTTTCCTAGACTCAAAGCAAGCATTTTAGATTTCCCAACTCCCTCTTCAACGGTTTTGAGCTAAGACTAATATGCAACCTTGATTTAAATATCAGTGTAAGAAACCAAGGAGTGAGAATCAATGAGATTTAGATCTTTGTATTGTGCCTATTTGATGTTGTAAGCCTCTCAACCCCACATTCTGAATTCAAATTATAAAGATTTAGTGTGGTATTCGTCTCTTTTGACCACCTCATCCTAAGTTTAAGCAGTTTATCATCTATCTGATTTTCATCTATTGAAGAATTTTTTAGATCGGAAACAATACTCATTAAAGAGAAGAAAGTTGTGGAAAGAAGGATAGAGTTAACATGGGGACTTACAACAAGAGGTCCCAATTGGGATACATCAAAAGAACTCATAACTACATAAAACTTTAGGCAAATTGCACAACTAGGAATAAAATATCTATCGAAACGCAAAGGTCGTCCATTGGAGAGGAAGTGTCCTGAAAAGTGTTTTGTTTTCCTTTTAATCCATACCCTCCAAAAGGTCCTCCTCTCGATGATTTCTGAGGCTCAGGGTGCTTTCATTGAGGGAAGGCTTGATCAAGTTCTCATTGACTACAAATCATTGTGATTGGAAAAATGTAGCTCGCTCCTGAAACCCCAAGAATTTGGCTGTAAGTTCTCATTGACAACAGATCATGGTATCAAAGCGTTATAGACTGAAGTGATCAGAAAGAAGTTTGTAGAAAAGGTGAAAATGATTGGGCAGAGAATGGGAGTGCCATCATCCAGTATGCAATACGAGCTCTCCCTGTTTAATACTTTTAGTCAGTATTGCACATCACAACATTATTATACTGTTTAATATTTTTAGTTTTTTTTGCATATCTTCAGCTTTCGTTAATCAGCCGTCGTATAACAACCACTAGTTTTGCCATAATACGTTCTTTTCTGTTATTTAGGAAATACACCTCCGCTAAAGCAATAGAACTGCAGAGAGATCGTGTTATATCCCAAAGGAGAGGGGAAAAAAAAGCCTTGACATGTCGAGAAAGGAATGTGCAAAGCGATGATCTCAGAATATATCTGTTCACGCTTGTGGAAGTTTTTTGTGGTTTCTCACCTTTCTAAGCTATAGAGGGGCATTATTTTCTAGCATACATATTCTCAACGTGACTAATTGCTTGGAATCAAGATGTTAATAGATAGCTTTATAGTAGGAAGGGGTTTTATTAACATTTCGTGCTTAGTGGTAGTATGCCTTGAAATGGTGAGGGTTTGGTCGGGTCAGGTCGTGTATATGATTTGTTTTGTTGACGGTGTGTCTGTTGAAGGAATGAGTTTGTAAACCATTGTTCTTCTAGAAAATGGTTTTATTTCTTCTACTAGTATCATCTAGTATCAAAGTGTTACACGACGGTGTTTTCTTTTCTTTAAGCCTATTTTTTATATGTTTGTGGCTTAATCGTGGTTATAAGAACCATTAAAATGATTGTGGGCCCAAAGCAAATGAGTTTAAGTCAGGTTGATATAATTGGTTTATGTTAAATGTGCAGGGCCCAACTTTCCCTTTCTTTTTGCTTTTAACGGTTTGCATTTTTAGACGTATGATATTGTCCATTTGAGTGGTTTTTGCTTTGGGTTTTTTCAAAAGGTCTCGTACCAATGGATATAATATTATTTACTAATAAACTCATAATCTTCCACTTAATTAACAAACAAACAAGGTGTAACTCACTCTTAATAATTCTCAACAATCAAACATGTATATTTTTATTTATGAATCAACTTTTTACATAAAATGCTTTAAATGTCTTAAATTCAAGTATCTAAGGGTTCTAATATGCTTTAAAATGTCTTAAATACAAGTATTTAAGGCTTCTAATTCAACATTTTGTACGTTCGTTTTTTAATATTTTTTTTTCTTTTGAAGAACCTTTACTTCGTTCTTATTAAATTTGGAAGTTTTAGTTTCGAAAGTTTTAGTTTTGAGTTCTTATTAAATTCAAAGTTTTAGTTTTGAAAGAACGTATTACTTTTTCGATTATAATTAGCCTATTTGTTTCTTTATTTAATCTATTTTTGGAAAATATTTTCCCCCTTCTACCTACTCCTTTTTTGTTATTTTCTATAATTAAATTATTTTTCATTTTGGTAGTACGATCCTTGCGTCAATGTTAATCGAAAAAAACATTATATTTTTGTAAGTCGTTCTTTTAATTTTTCGTCTTTATCTATTCAATTAAATTAGGAGTTTTTATTAAATATAGGAGACAAAAACATCTTACTATAATTATTATAAATCTAACCAACAAAATTAAGACAAAAAAAAGTTTTTTTTTGGTAAGTTGTATCATTTTAAATCTGGAGAATCTTTTGAATTTTTATTAAATAAGGTTGGATTTCATATTTTGTGTTCCCATTATACATAAATATATTCAATTTCCCAAAAAAATTGAAATAAAATAACCATAATTTTATCAATAGACTATTGACTTTATCTAACATTAGCATTTTTTTTTAAAGGGAGGCTAACGACCAAATTGTATTAATAAAAAAATAATTAAAAGGCTATTAAATCCTTATAAAAAAAAAACATTATCAAATAAACCCAATTCAATAAAATAATATATATTTCGTCTTCAAGGTCTTAATTATTTTAAACCAAATTTATTACACTTTGTATGTTTTTTAAAAGGCCCGTTACCTCCACAATTATTATATATTTTAACATCAAATAAAAAATATGTATCTCCCTAAATTTTAAAATAGTTTCAATTTATTTATTTTTTTTAAGGGAGGAAAATAAAAGAAATATTAATTTTGGTATTTATTTTCTGAACAAATTGTTTTTGTCCGTGGAAAAAATTAATTCAGGAATTTAGTTGGGTACAGGGTGCTGAAAAGTATTTAGAGGGAGGGAATCAACGGGGTCTGAGGCGAGCGAGGGAATCAACGGGGTTCTGAGAGCGAGGGAAAACGTGCACAATCCAATTCGCGGAACTTACGGTTACACTTGACACAGAGCAATGGAGGGCAGCGCCGCCGTAACCGGTCTGAACCCAGATTACCTTCTTCCTTCTTCTCGCCGTGCTTCTCCTTTTCTCCATTCCTATACATCTTCACGCTCCTCCTTCCACAGAAAGCATTCGTCTCCATTCTTCTATAAGGTCTCTCTCTCTCTCTCTCTCTCTCTCTCTCTCTCTCTCCCTTTCTCTTTATTTTAAGATTGCCGTTTCATTTTTCTTCATTTTCGCATTGTTTTCGCCTTGCAGTTCCAGAAGAAGCTTCGTCTTCCTTCCTTCAATGCTCGTCAAGCTGTATCTCCCATCAGGTGTCGTGAAAATCTTTTTTGGTACCTTTACGGTTTTCTGTATTTCTGTTTTCTATCTTTTATGTGTAGGCTATTCTGCATGCGCTTGAAATTGGTTGTGTGATGTACAACCATTCTCTGCAACTCATCTTTACTGTTGATATGCCTATATTGGAAGAATAATGATGAGAAACATGATGAGAAGTCTAATTTGATTGGAAAATGAGGAATTTCTTTTCAGTTCGTAATCTTTTTAAATGATTAAGTTTTCGGAAACTATTTGGCGTGACATTATTCAAATAAGATTATATTAAATCTAGTAAAACGGTTGAGTATTTAGTTTATATTGTCACGCTGAGAGTGTCATCCGTAGTCCAACATTATATTCACGACACTGCACCTTATGAACATTATGGTGATCATGACTGTATCTATATACCTAATCGCTTTGCGGAGTGCTATGTTCTTACACTCGACTGATCTCCACAAGCATTTGTGCAGCAAAGAGGAAAAGGAAGTACCCGACTTAGATTGGGACAATCTTGGTTTTGCGATTGTTCCTACTGATTATATGTATGTCATGAAATCTTCTCATGGTGGAGACTTTTCCAATGGCGAATTGCAGCGTTTTGGGAACATTGAACTGAGTCCTTCTGCTGGAGTCTTAAATTATGGGCAGGTTAGATCATTCAATTATTTTAAGATTAATGATCTTTTTTTACTTACTTTTTGAAGTTTATCTCATGCTCTATATATGAAGTGACATGGTTTGATCTTACTAAACACTTGTAGGTAATAAAGAAAACTACATTTCGTTTTGATTTACTGCTTTATCATTCATTTTGTTTTGATTCACTGCTTTATCATTTTTAATCGATTAAGCAGTTCTGATCTCTTTCTTTCTTATTTGAGATTGGTTTTATCCTTGTTATGACTGAAATCTGATGTTTCCGGCACACATCTTTCCGACTACTTTTATATTTGGTACAGTTTGTTCCACTCTCTTTCTTTTTTTATTGGAGATTGGTTTCATCCTTGTGTTGGCTGATCTCTGATCTTAACATTAGATATGTTTCCTGAAAGTTCTTGTAAAATTTGATTTCGTTTGCAGAACTCTCATTATTTTATTTCTTGTTGATTTGATCCTTGTTATGACTGAAATCTGTTTTTACCAGAAGACAACTTTCCAGCAAGTTATGAGAAGAGTAAAGTATTTTCTAGTGGACTACTTAAACAGCGTTGATGGTATCTTAATTTAGTGGCTAGAAAAGGTCAGAGTGCCTTCAGAAAGGGAGTGAGAAAGTAGATTCAATACTGTGTCTTAATGGAGATTTGAGCTGTGGGCGTATAAAAGCACCACTTAATGTAAACTCTGAAGGTTTTGGTATTTGCACCACTTAGGATTAGTATTTATAGTGTAGATCTTTGGCATTTGATGACTAATTTAATTTCCTATGAGGATCCTCGCCATTATATTCTTCTATGATTTTTTGTCACACATTAAGGATGGCATTTTTTTTAACTGCTAATGTATTATTTTCATTATATAATCTTAAGATTTTTTGTTTTACATGACGAATAGTATCCTCTTCAAATAGGGATTATTTGAGGGTCTAAAAGCATACAGAAAAGAAGATGGTTCTATTCTTCTCTTTCGTCCAGAGGAAAATGCATTGAGGATGAGGTCGGGTGCAGAGAGGATGTGCATGCCATCACCAACTGTTGATCAGTTTGTGGAAGCTGTGAAGGCAACTGTTGCCGCCAACAAACGTTGGGTAATGAATATTATTGTTTACGCTCTGTTTTCATTTTGTTTGGGATGTAGCTTATGATGGTTAAGTTCATAATTAGTTTCCTTGCTTCTCAGGTGCCCCCTTCAGGTAAGGGTTCATTGTACATCAGGCCTTTGCTGATGGGTAGTGGAGCAGTTCTTGGTCTTGCCCCTTCTCCTGAGTACACATTCTTAATTTATGTTTCACCTGTTGGAAACTATTTTAAGGTTTGTCGTTATTTACATTCATAAATGTTCGAAAAAGTATATTCGTAAGTACTAAATCTGTTTATTGGTCTTTCTCACATGTTTTTTATTGTATTTGTTCATAATTTAATTTTTCTTATTCACGATTGTTAATGTTCATAATGCAATTTTATGATCTGGATCAATGCTCAACACCTAATTGCTGAAATTTATAAGCTCAAGTTTGAGAAATTTGCCAAATGCATGGTCCTTTCCCATGCTATAAAGACTTATATGTGTTGTTACTACAGTAATCAATTTCTCTTTACATTATGTTGTATTCTTTTTTTTTCTTCTTCTTTTTTTTTTATCTTCCTCAAAATTTTAAGATTTATTTCTGAATACAGGAAGGCATTGCACCCATAAATTTAGTTATTGAGC